GTCAGACAAATAAATGCTGTCTACAAATACTTTGCTATGTTGCAGAGTGAGGTTAACCAAGACTGTATCGGAAAGACTATCCTAACTGCCCGTTTTTTATATAAATGGTATTTTGGTTTCCCTTTTTTTAAGCAATCTAAATCTAAAAGTCGGAAAACATTTCTAAATGTGATAAAGGATTAGTTTAATATAAAAATACTGATTCTATTAAGTCTAATAGTTAATATTAATTTAAGGGATTCATTAAAATAATTATATACTAAAATGGTTAGTTAGTATTGATAAAAATTTTCATAAATCAATATTTCTTCTCAATTCACTATAAAATAGATTCGTATCTGTGTGAGATTCTGTTATTTAATGGACATTTTTTTTTTCTTATTAGTTAATTAGACCAGCTTAATGAAGCAGAGATTCAATAATGTCTATTAATAACTGTAGATATTCAATGAATGAAGCTTCAATACTTGGTTTTTACTGTTTGATATCCATTTTAAATTCTTAAACGAGCACTCTTTTTCGAATTTAAAAATATTAAGGGTTCCACCAAATTTCTTCTTTAGAATTTAAAGTTTTCATGGCTAAATATGATTCAATTAAGATCTAAATTAATATTCATATTACTTTAACCACACAAATTTCTAGAATTGGATAAGCAACATTCATAAATTTTTGTTGAAATGCTATATAATACTAATTAATTAAGATTCTTAAGAATTTATGAATGGAATTATGTGCATTACTTCTATCTGTTTCGAAGAGTAATTTCTGTTTGTTCTGGGACATCTTAGTATCGATCAATTAAAAGAGATTGAAGATTGAGTTTCTTAATTAAATAGAGATAGTTTCTATGTTTTTTCTGGTTTGTTCTTTATCTAGGATTATCATAATTTCTTAAGAGTTGTAAATTTTGATTTTGATTTTCTTACCAGTAGAGCACATTTAACCCATTAAATAATATATAAATTATTCGTAATTAATTATCATCTTTATTATAAAACGTAAAAGAATAAAATTACAATGCAAATCTTAGGCTTTAACATTAGATATAATAAGATATTAAGTTTTAAATTAAGAATTATTTTATTCAATAAACCGAAGAGTGAAGAGAATATATGATTAAGAATGTTATTTTACAATTAAACTCAATCAATCAATATAAATTTAATTTGGTAACAATAATTACTTTGCAAGTTTAATCCAAACCACACAAGCATGCCAATCCTAAAAATACTATTATTTTATTTACCCAATTTGTCAGTATTCCAATCTAAAGATGAAATTGGCTATTAACAAACATCCTATTTGTTGAGTAGTTCTAATTTTCCAATAACTCCCTTAGGTTTTCCTTCAGCATCTTAGATCTATCTTTAAGATGGATAAGAATATTTATAAATGTTCAAAGCTCCATCCCCTCCTTGAGTTGCGAATAAATCTCTATTTTAAGGTAAGTGTTTGACTCCCCAAATTGTTGATTTTTACCCTTCATGTGTTAGTGAAGCGTATCCATTATTGAAAGTTCTTAAATCAAAAACATTAATTTTGCCTAAATTTAAATCTCAAATACTTTCTAATGTAGTTGCTATTAGTTTATTCATTTAGATATCCTTTCTATCAAATTCAATACCGCAGATTCCATTCTTAACATTAGTATCCCAAACCAACTAGTTTTATTTTAAATCAAAAAGCTTAATATCTCCATTATCATAACCACAAGCAATAACACGTTCATCATTATATGAATTACCAAATGAAACACTCCATGCATCTGGTATAACATCTTTTTCAATAGGCTCTAATGATACAACTGGGGCTGCTTATCTTGGATCCCACACTCTTACACATCCATCTCTTGAACCAGTTACAATTTCAGGAGCTCCAATATTATAGCATGTATCAATAGAATTGATTATTTGATCATGTGCCTTAACTTCAAATGTGGTCTAATATCTAATTAAACTTTACTTTTCGAGTTTCTAGATCTATTACTTTCAGTTTTCCATCAAAATCACCAAATGCAAATAAATTATCCAAAAATTATCCACATTTTATTCCTTTAGGTTATTCAATCTAATGATATATGTATTTATAACTGATGATATGGTTTTCAGTTCTGTTTTATTCAACTACAATATTTCAATAATTCCATTTGCTTTTGGGGGTTAACCACATAATACAAATTTTGCTGTTCCTGGAATCCATTTTGTGACAAAAGGAGTGAAATTTAGTGATTTGTTGAGATGTTCAATAATTTAAGGAGCATTTGTTGTGTCCATTATTTATTTATTAATAATTTAATTATCATTTTAATATATGCAAAATTAATTATAAAATTTTGTGTTTTTCATTGTAATTCCCTTAATCTCTTAATCGTTGATGAATGCAATGAACTATCAAGGTACTTGTTTATATGATTTAATAATCTTATTTTTTTAACATAACCACAACTCTCTGATGATTCCATTGAAACTGATGTAGATGCTTCTGTAGGTTCCCAAACTTATTTTACGTATTCTAATCCATTTTTATCACCTTCACTTAATAATTCTTAAAATATTTATTCATCAAAATGTTTAGATGCGAGTTTCAAGCATACAGCTTCAGAATTCATTAATTATTTATCAATTAATATAAATTTTTATTTACTTTCAGATCTAAATATATGTTATCAATAATTTTACCTCTATAGAGCCTAATCCTGGAACTCAATATTCATCTTAATGTATTCAATATTATGAAATGTTTTTTCATATATAATCATTAATTTTAATAAAGTTTGAATAGGATTCTAAATTCGATCAATTAATAGAAAGTAGTAGTTAAAGTAGTTAAATAATAAGCTAATCAAAATTATATATAAAATAATTCCAATCGATTTAAAATAATAATGAATAGCATTTAAATCCATTCAACTTTATTCAATAACTCTACATTTTAATTGTGCAATTTAATATTACTATTTATAGAAATAATCTAAGAAGCTATATATTTCCTACTTTTTCATTATTATTATTGATAAATTAGTCATTATTAACTCTAATCTGTTCTTAATTCATCTTATTATTATTAATTACACATTGTAAATTAGATTTAAAGAGATTTTCATATTTATTGATTAAAACTTAGAACAATCTTTATGTAAGCTCTAAAAAAATGGAATTTTGGTTCAGTCATGGAGAATAAGTAATTGATTACAATAAAATGGGTTATATTAATTTTAAGTTTAATATTATATTCATTCTTTTGTAGTAGCTAATTAGAAAATTATAGAGAAGCTTGATTACTTATCCAAAATCAATAACGCTAATTAGTCTTCACCTAAAAAAAACTAATTATTATCAATTGATTAGTTCAAATATTATTACTTATTAAATTGCATAAATTATAAAATAATTTATACTATTAAGTTTGCAATATAAAATGTGAGTGTTCACCTTAATTTTTGCTAATTTCTCTTTAGAAAGAAATATAGCTTTATTAAAATGATTGTCAAGCTTGTGATGTTGAATATTTACTATAATCGATTGAAAGTATGGATAATAATTTAATTGAGCAATTTTAAATTAATTCGCACAAAATATTCAGGTGATCTAAAAGAGAATGAGACGATTTATCTTTCGTAATTATCAATAATTGGATTCAAGCTGCAAGTCTCAAAATAATAAGAATTTATATATACTTTTACAGAAGCTCCAAATAAATTATATAAGCAATATAGATATTCATAAATTTATTATAACACTCATGGTTAACCAGATTACTTTCTAAGATTTACACAAGTTTATCCGTCACAAAATGGCACATTTTTGGTTAATTTGCATCCGCATAATTATAAAGAATCAGTTTCTTATTCTAATGTAAATCTAAATGGCTTAAATGATGTTCCTTAATGAGAGCCATCGCATAAAGGCTAAATTATTTACGATTTCTTTTACTTATTTCTAACTTAATCCGCATGAACACCATCTATAGGTTTTATTGGAAACTTTTGGATCCTCTATTTTTATTGGACCAAGAACAGGTGATGTTGGAATTGGAGTAAATTATTCAACTTCAGCTTTCTTGTGTTGTTTATTCAACTTTATGACTTTTCCTGCTTCCTCTAATTCTTTTATTTAGACTGTAAAGCATCTTTTCATTAACATCCTTATCATTTTCCTTACTTATATAAATTAAATACTTTTAAAATTTTAAGAAATTACTATAACTTTCAATATTAATTAAATCATACACAACATAAATCATAATTTTAAGTTAAAAATGTGTAAAGATTCATCTAATTATGTTTTATCTTTATTCTAAGATTCCTTTTCTTAGCTTTAATCTTTATATATTATAGATTATAATAAATATTATTAATTTAGTATCTATTTTAACTTCAGAGCAGAGAGTGAATTAGAATTATTGATTTAGCTATACGAGATGTTACTTATAATATAATTAATCATTTACAAAAGAAACTTAGAAATATTTTTTTTATATTAATTAAACATAAATTGCTTTTATAATAATGATAATAATAATTCAATCTTCTTCTTATTAAGAGGAAAAATAAAAGCAATTTTATGATTATATTTAATTGTGTTTTCTTATCTACTTTTTAAATTTTAGATATTGTTATTCCATAGATATGATTTATTACATAAAAACTTTAAAATCTTGCAAGTAATTAAATGAAATTCTAAAAATATAAATTTTTTCTAATCTTGAAACTATGGAACCATTATTATATTTCAGATAATTCTAATTTAATTTCCTTTAAAACTCCTGTTAAATGAATTCAATAATAATATTATTTTAAAATAAATAAATTTTGAAATAACTAGTTGATAATTTATTTATAAATATATCAGTAATCATTTGAGAAATTAATTTATGTTTAATGTTATCAAGATCTGGATCTCAAATATGGAATAGAATTTGGTTAATCATCCGAGTAGTCAACATCAGCTATTGAATGGGATTTTTTAAAATCAGGTTCTGAAACCTGAAGATTTAAACTAAGTTTCTAATTAAAAATTTAATCTAATTTTGATTGATCTTTATTCAAAGTATAGAATAATTCAATAATGTCTTCGTCTAAGATTTCGATTATATTCTTGTCTATTTAAGTTAATTCTTTTTTCTTTTTCAATTTTGCAAACGATACAAAGGCCTCTTACAACTTTAAAAGATCTGATTTTTCATCTTGCAATATAAATTAGTATGCCTTTTTTGCTTCAATTTCTTTAATTTTACTTTCTGCATCATCTCCAAATAATGCAGAAGGAATTACAGGTTTTGGTAAATAATTAAATAATTAGAGTTGGTCTTCATTCAGTAATACCAATTTTAATTTATCAATCTCATAAATTTTTGATATGATATATGCTACATCTAATTTAGACATAAACTTATCAGTTGCATATTAGATTTGCCTTTTTTCTTTTTTCTTGCATCCTAAACTCATAATAATTATATCTCTTAAAGTTAAATTTAAAGACTATTTCTTGGACTTCAAATATTCACTCATAGATTTAGAATCCTAAATTTTTTCGAAGTTCTTCGACTTGAGAGATCTGCCTAAAGATTTAGAAAAAGAGGACTTTTTGATATCAAAGTCTAAAACTCGTTAAGAGGATTATTATTTGGGTGACTAAATTATGAAATTGTCTTAAGCAATTTAATCATCATCAAAAGAATAATTTGAATTCTCAAATCTAAATAATTTATTAGCCATTTATAGATTCACAAATTTTTAAATAAGAGGGCTCAAAATAGAGTAAATGGTTAAAAATAAAACTTGATAGAGCCCTCCTATTGTACTTAAGATAGCTTGAACTTTAGCATAAGATCTAGAATATTCACCTTGTCTTTGATCGAGTGTTATATAGTGGAGAACTAAAAATTCATCATTGTATTCTTCTTATGACTCACGATTAGTATACTGAATTAAACTTGAGGATTCGGACTTGTCTTCTGTAATTAGGCCTTTATCAGTGATGACATTAGTCACTTTTAAATTCTGGATTATGGTTTTAGAATTTGCGATAGACATGGTTGTATATTAGAGGGAAATGTATTCTTAAAATGGATTACCTGGTTATTTCATTTAGACAAGATTATCTGACAAATGAACAACGTAATAGCCAGTTTTCAACTCCTCTTAAATACTTTCTATAGGGGCACATTGATTATATGAGGTAGAATTCTTGCATTGTTACACCATGATTGAAATATATTGATATGTTTTGCCAGCTATTTGACCTTATAAATTCTAATATAATTTTATTAAAATTACAGGAGGTGAATTATTCCATTAGTCTGAATTCAAACATTATGTATATCCTAAATTGATTGATTAAAAATAATCTTTTTGAACATTCGTAACAAAGTGTTTATCATCGCATGCTTCTGTTGGGTATTCAGTACAACTTATATATAAAAATGGAAAGATACTTCTGCTGAATTCTAGTTTTTCCTGTTTATTCATCAATTAGTCTTACTCTGATACAGTTTTTCACTGTAATAGTAAAATGTGTATTTAATGTTGTAAGAGTATTGAGACTTAAATTGGCTACTGAAATTGCCATCGTAAAGTTATTCATTAACAAAGGAAGAGGCTCTAATAATTAAATAATCTTACAGCAGTATCAGTCATTTAATACTCTGAAAACACAACTAAAGGGTTTTTTCGATCGTATAATTATATGATTTAATAAATTAAATATAGTATGCAGATGGTAGTGATTACTGATGTACAAAAGAACCCTGTTGAAGTGGTGAATTTACTTTTTTTTAAAATTCTCAATACGGGAGGTTGTCCAAATACATCTAATCCACTCAACAATCCCTATAAACTATTTTTAAACATTTGGGTGTTCCTTTTTTAGTACTTAAACATAATTTCTTTATTTGATATTCTTAAAAGCAATTATTTATTTTAACATTAATACTCTCAATTATGGATTTTGAGAAGGAGTAAATCTAAAGATCAAAATAACCAGAATTAAAAAGAAGATGATTCTTAAATTAATTACTTCAATTGAAAATAGAGAACATGAGCATTTAACTTAGATTATTTATTAAAAAGTAGAATCAACTGATTGTTTAAGAAAATCTAAGCGTTGGATTTGAATAAAATACTGACAAACAAATTAGGTTAGAATAGAGTATTCAGTCGATTATTAGGCAATTAAATTAAGAGTGCATTATTCTAAACAGTACTCTCTAAAATCCGTGCATCTATTTAGTGGTAGATTCATCAAATTATATTACAACTAAAATGCTATTCACAGTACCAAGGTTTCGTTATGGTTAATGTTATCTATTAATTTTCTGACTAATTATGTTGCACTATGATTATGGACTAAATATTGGTTTGAAAAGAAGTAGAATAAAAAAGAAAATAATATGTATTAGTTTATGATTGTCACAAAAGTCGTTTAAACTTCTTAATACTGTAATTATAATAAATTAGTAAAGTATCAAATTATTTTGCAAATGCCATTTTCAATTCTATGATATTATGCTTATTTGGATTAATATATCATATATTAAGTTTTGTAAAATAACTCAATTATATGAGTTGTATAATAAAAAAAGGAATCCAAAATATTAACATTAGTGTTATCTACATTTAATTTTGAATGAGTTTGAATTAAGCAATTTATATTAATAATTATATTAATTGAGTCAACACATCATAATAGTCTGTATTACACATTAATTTAAATATAAATATTCTGAATAATCATGAAAGTAGAGGAAGAGGGAATTTCACTAAGAGGAACTGTGTTAGACCCATTAATTGAAAAGAAAGAAATTAAATTAAGGGAAATAATACTTAATTAGACGATTTCTCAAATAAAGGCGTGTAATGAAATCAATAATAGCAAATACTCTATATTCACATTTTTACCTTTCGTTTTGTTTTATTAATTTTAACATTTCTTTAACTTGTACTTTTTGGGATTGACAATTACTTAATTCATTCCTGCTTTAAAAGTAGGTAAAATATAATGTTTTATAATCTAAGGATTTATCATCAATTATGTGGGTCCATTATCGATAGTCGTCTGTTTATCTATGTGTAAAGAAGCATATGACGACATTTTGAGACACTCAAGAGACAGACAAATAAACAATCAGCTCTATTAAATATTAACTATAGAAGGTTTGATGAATAAGAAATCAGGGAACCTATAAGTAGGATAAATTGTTCAGGTGAATAAGGATGAAAGAATACCTGCAGACTTATTGATATTGAGAACAGATGACAAGGATGGAAATGCATTTATTCGAACAGATTAATTGGATGGAGAGACTGATTGGAAGTTGAGAAAATCCGTCAAGTTAACTCAAAATATGGATGACAATTTATTAACATCAGTGTCTGGACTAATTTAGTTTGAAGAACCCCATTAAAATATCAATAGTTTTAAGGGATTAGTATAAATAAATGAGATGGATGGGAAACAGCTTAGAGAATCGACGAGTTTAGAAAATGTTGTTTGGGCTAACAGTGTATTGGCTGTCGGATAGATATATGGGATAGTAATCTACAATGGCAATGAAGCCAAGATGATGATGAATCAAAAGAGGGCCTAAACAAAGAAGGGAATTTTTGATGTCGAAGTTGACAAGTTGAGTAAGTTATCATTTTTCATTATGATTGTTTTGGCTGTTATCATAACATTATTTAGCAGTCCTCCAAGGGATTTTAAATATGTACTCTAAATGTATATGCGCTATTTGATCTTAGTCAGTAACATCATTCCAGTAATCTATTATAATAAGTTCTAGATTTCTATGAGAGTCAATTTAGAGTTTGCAAAAATAGTCTATTCCATCAGAATCAATAGGGATACTAAAATTGAGGGAACTATTACAAGGAATTCAAATATACCTGAATCTTTAGGTAGAATTTCGTATTTATTAAGTGACAAAACTGGTAAATTTAATTATTAATTGATTGAGGCACTCTCACATAAAATGAAATGATTTTTAAGAGATTTTCATTGGAGAATGAGAAATATACTATTGAACAAGAAGACATGTCTAAAATAAAGTAAATCCTCTATGATTAATTTAAAAACCCAAATAAAAAGAGTGGAAAAATGAGGGACTTCTTTACTTGTCTAAGTGTTTGTCATCATGTTACCCCAGTAGATGATGAATATGGAAATCGTACTTACTAAGCTTAGTCTCCTGATGAAATTGCATTAATTAAATTTGCCGCCTAATAAGGTTTCTATATATCATCAAGGGATGATAAAGAGATCATTATACACATTGAACAAAAAGAACTAAAAATAATGGAAAGATACTAGATATTAAACAGTTTCCCATTTTCAAGTGAAAATAAAAGGATGGGGATAATCCTAAAGAACAATTAAAATTAGATTCATTTTTATGTTAAAGGTGCAGATGTAGTACTCAAATAGTTATTACCTGAATAATATTAGAGTTATATTGATGAGGAAACCGAGAATCTAGCAAGGGTTGGATTGAGAACACTTGTATTGGCTCATAAAAAACTAACTTAAAAGGAATATGAAGAGTGGAATGAAGAATATATAAAGGCTGCTTAATTGATTGAAAATAGAGAGTAGAAGATGTAAAAGTTGATTGAATAACTTGAAAAACAATTGGATTTCATAGGAATTACAGGTGTAGAAGATAAGTTATAAGATGTAATTAATAATATTAGATAAGGATGTGTCTCATACTATAGAAAACTTGAAGAATGCAGGAATCAATGTCTGGATGTTAACAGGAGATAAAATGGAAACAGCCATCTGTATAGCCATTCTATCTGGTCTCAAACATGCAACACAGAATTTTATTATTATGAAAGATGTTATTGATGAGGTACTTAATCAATATTAAATAGATCTAAATGTCTCTGATTTTATAAAATTTAGAGGCGAATTCAAATAATGTATTAGTAATTGATGGAACCAGTTTATAAGAAGCATTGCATGGATTCGAATAGCAATTTATGAAAGCAGCTATGAATTGTCCCTCAGTAATTTGTTGTAGATGTTCTCCGACACAAAAAGCCATAGTAACTGAACTCCTGAAGAAATACTCAGGACTTGTTGTAGCAGCAGTGGGGGATGGAGGGAATGATGTGGGAATGATATAATCTAGTGATGTAGGAATAGGAGTTGAAGGTAAGGAGGGTAAGCAAGCTGCCTTAGCATCAGATTTCTCTATCTTGAAATTCAACTCCTTAAATCTACTTTTGTTATGGCATGGGAGATTATCGTACAAAAGGAGTTCTTTGCTCTCTTAATTTATTCTACATAGAGGTCTTCTGATTGCCACAGTACAAACTATATTTATGTTCTTGTTCTACTTTCTGTCAATCAGTTTGTTCTCAGGATTTTTGATGTTTGGATATTCCACTATTTTCACGTATTCATTATATCTTATATTAAAGGATGTTTCCCGTATTTTGTATCATTTATGATGAAGATGTCAAGCAAGAGATTGCCTTGAGATTCCCACCTCTCTATAAATCAATCCAATAAGGGAGGTTACTTAACACAAAGACATTTCTTATATGGATTTGGAAGGCTGTATTCCAGGGTTTCATTATAATGATTTGTTCCATCCTTCTGATCAAACAAGCCTTTTTGAGATTGGAAACCACTGTATTCACCTGTTTGATCTTTACATAATATGCTATGACACTTACAGAAGTACTAATCATTCTAATTTTATAGTTAGAGTCTCTACATATCTATATGATTCTGTCAAACTTGTTATCCGTGTTGATTTACCTTATGACTTTGCTATTGTTTCCTGAACAACTATTAGTATAGGATACAATTGATGTACCCTTTTTTGGCTGGGTCATATTGATTTTGTTAATGAGTTGGGTGCCTCTGTATATTTTAAGGAGGATCTTAAAATCAGTGGATCCATCTGATTATGAGAAGCTCATGGACTAAGTTTAAAGAGAAACAATTAATACGAATTGAATGATTAATTGATTGTATTTTGATTAAGCTTTTTCTTGTAACAAATTTCTAATAATTATTATTAAAATATTTATGTCAGCTTTTAAGACTTTAATCAAAATGCCATAAAATAAACTAGCATCTAAATGTATAGCCTTAGAAGAATTGTTATAGCGTTATTATTAGTTTGAGGAAGTTCATTATGATTTATAAAGCAAATACCAAATTCTTTAAGAAAAATTTGAGAAGCTCAGTCAACAGAATTTATAACTAAAACAAAGCATTTCAAATGATAAAGACTCCATTTCTCAAAAGAGTTACAAAAAACTGGATTCATATCTTAATTGCACTGAGAAAATAGAATTATGCGCAATTGAAGATCTCGAAACATAAAAACTCATTGAAGAATTGAAGTAATAAAATTAAAAAATGAAGGAGGAAGTCTCCTAAAGCAAAAAAGAATATCAGAGATTATAATCAATGTATTTTAATTACTATCTAGGTTTGAATAAACTTAGACTGAATTAGTTAGATCTGCATCTTTAAAAACGGCTTCGGATTCCAAATATAATTCACTTATTGATGATAAAAGTAATGATTCTGTTTAGTCATATAAAAATGAAATTGCCAGATTAAATAAAATAGTAATTTCCCTTGTTCATAGTAGGTAACATCTTTGAGAGTAGAATTATGCCAATACAAAACTAGGGAATATGATGAAGAGTGGATGAAGGCCTAACTAATTAAATATTAAAAATAATCTTAGTTATCAAGCAATAATAATAAATCTTTTGACATTCTTGATTATGTTGATAATTGATACATCAAATTTATTTAATGAATTCTAATCAAAATAATCATTAAGTGAATATCAATTTTTATTATTCCTTTGTTTTTGAAACTACTTATTAGCACTTCATTATCATTAATAATTCAAGTCTATCACTATTTTTATAAAGATTTAAATCTATAAATATTAAAAATAATATATATTATTAATAGTAAATTATGACTATTACAACATCATCGGAACCAATAACAATGTCTAATTTTAGTATGTAGAATTCAGTATTGTATTAAATATAAATCTTGTTTAATATTTATTAATATGGTCATCATCATACTTTACAATTTGTTTTAACATGTATATCAACTCTAATTCATCGAACATCCTCTTTTTTTATTTCTCTACATTTAATACGGAAAAAAATCGTAATATTAGTTGATATATGGAATAGCACCTTAGTTTAAGATTCATATTGCTAACCATATACTTCTTTCATCCTTTTTGAACTTCTTGGATTATAAAATAGTTTATTAAAAATAAAGAATCGTCAACCATGAATCTTATTATGTTAATATGAGCATTTCTCAAGCAAATTAGCTTTCACAAACTGCTTTTCATATTTAAACATAATGTGAAAATTAAAAGACAAATAAAAAGAATTAATAATAATTATTATCATATATAGCTTCTTGTTTAAATCATGATAATAAAAACTGGGAAAGTTTATCAAGCTCTTATGTGATCTACTTTAAATTTATTTGCATACATTAAGAAACTGCTGGTGTATATTTTCAAATTCTTTATTTATGCTTATAATTAAGGGCTCATTATAAAGATCGAAGTCATTGAAATAATCTGGATCTAAATTTAAGTTCTTTTGGTTATATAAATAATGAAAAATTACCAATTATCCTTGGTTGGTGTTTTCAGTTTTTAATTTTTTTTTACCAGAACATTATGAACTACAGATTCCCATTGATTTTATATGTGATATTTATTATTATGATTTAATTATTAATATTAAGATAAATCACAAAATAATTAATCTATTCTATTATTATCTACGTATTCAGAACTTCATTTTGATACCACTCTGTGCTTCCATTATTGTTCTAACTCTTCAACCACCTGTAATTATTAAAGGATCATTTTAATTCGAACACATGTTTAATAAACAAGGCTGTCATTTTAATCAATCTATTTAGATCTTAGGATCATTTTTATTTTTGGGTATCGAAATCTATAGATATTTCTTCCATAAAAACAAGTATAATAGAATACTAAATTTCCTTGAAAATGGATTAATAATTATATATATTAGATTCACATATCTTCATCACTGCTTTCCTTTTCTTCCTACTACATTGATTATCGAATGCTATTATTTTGATCTTATCTAGCAATTATCTATAAAAGAGTTAATATTTATTGCATCCCTCCTGATTATCTTTAGTATTAATGCCTTGATTATAATAGTTGGGCTCTTAAATCCTCAGTTGTTTACTGCTATTATGATGGTTGTTTTCTTGAATCCTTTGGCGAATACACCCAGAGTTAATTTTTAGTAGGATGAAATTTTATACAAGACAATTCATTAGCATTATCTGATATCTATTTTAAATAAAATAACTACTTAATAAGACTCAATTGGCCTACTTGATTTTTGGATATGCCAAATCAACAAATCACCTTTGTTAGTACCAGCAGCTATTAAATTACAATTGAGCCATCCAAGGTCATATTGAGAAGTTAAAGGATTTAAGCTGGAGGTAGTTTGGAATACTTTGATCAATTATAATTCAGGTATTGCATATAAATACAATTGAGATATAGTGTCACTTATGAAAACTAAGGCAAAATTAAAATTTTTATCTACGACTGAATTCTAATTATTGTTAGAAGTTGAAGTCTAAGATATTTATTATTTTGTATATAATTGATACAAACTAATCTTATTTTAACTAGTTAAAAGCATTAATTCCTTCTGTTGATGTGAGTGTAATTTCAACAATTTTTCCTCAATTTTTAATCCTCCCTTCCTTTCATTTTCATTCCATTCATAAAGCCATCCATCTATAGAAATAGTGTAAATATCATATTCATTTTTCTACTTTTTCTTTGATTAATCACATAAGACAAAATTTAAACATTATACTACTGCATTGTGTCCTTCAATTCTATACTTTTTTTCTGTTTATATGTTATACACAAAGGCTGTAAAATCTTGTGAAGATGTTCCAATGTATTTACTGCAGGGTGAGAATATAATTGATGTAATCGCACTAGTATGTCCAGTTGATATTTTCCTCGGAGTTTATTGGTATTCATTTTTTGTGTTGTCATATTAATATAAGTAAATTTAGAGTCCATGAACTAAGGCTTTATATTGACCATTAATTGAAAATAGGCAGAAAAGGATATTTTTCTTCTGCTTGATTATATTTAATTAAGGATTGCATGTGTGCTATTTAAAAACATTGTAATTTTATTCTAATTTAACATGGAATTGACAATCCAATACTTAATTTGCTTGTTATTATTGTATTAAGGTCACTAATCTATTAGGTTCAATTAATCCGATTTATTTATAGCACAACGATATAATTTCATCTATCAATTCTTATTCTTATTTTACTTTGAGTTCTGGAAGATATATCATAGAAGCATATTGATGCTTTAATTCTTCGTCTAAATATGGATATTTAAACATATACCTGAGCAATAAATTGTTATTTAATTTCTCAATAGTTAGATTGCCTCCTAAATATTGTGTAATTTAAGTAGTTTAATGTATTTTTGCTCCAATACTTTCAAAATGCATTTCTATTTTGTTTCTTCATCTAAATATTGATTGAGTAGCTATTCTAATTATATTATGTCTTAGTTTCTAATAGATTGAGTAATCAATTCTAAATTTTAAGGATCTAATTAAATTTATGATTGTTCCTAGAGTTTCTAGAAAGTTTGATCATATTTAATTTATCGTAAAAATTAGAGAATTAGTTTTATTTTTTCTTCCTTAATGTTCATTTAATATTTGATTAAAAAAATTTTCTTTTTTAATTGACCATAAATAATGGATATCGTTGGAGTAAAGCTTTGTAGTTATCATAGAACGTATTGCCATAAGTGTTGAAAGACGAAGCTACTGAAGATAAAGGAGAGATGGCCAGATTGGTAAATTATTGATTATTAACATTCCAAGTAAAGTTTTGTAGGAGCAATTGCAGTAGCAGATCTAGTAAAAACAACCTTAGGACCTAAGGGAATGGTTAGAATTGTGAATTAATTTAATAGGATAAAATATTGAAACCAACAGGACCAGGCTAAGAAATGACTCACATTACTGTAACCAATGATGGTGCTACAATTCTGAAGTCAATGTATGTTGAGAATCCTGCAGCCAAGATTCTTATAGAAATCAGCAAGACTTAAGATGAGGAAGTGGGAGATGGGACTACAACAGTTGCAGTATTGGCAGGTGAATTATTGCGGGAAGGAGAGAAATTAATTTAAAAAAGAATTCATCCACAACATGTTATAGCTGGATGGAGAATTGCTAGAGATGTAGCCTTAAAGCGACTTAGAGATATTTGTAAAGAATTGTATAATTTTAATTAGCTAGTGAAAATGATATCAATTCTTAGGAATTTCATGATGATTTGATTAAGATTGCCAGAACTACATTGAGTTCAAAGTTAATCACTACAGATAGAGACTATTTTGCAGATTTATGTGTGAAAGCAGTACTCAGATTAAAGGGATCATCCAATTTGGATTATATTCAAATAATCAAACTTCCAGGAGGAACAATAAGAGATTCTTATTTGGATGATGGATTCATTTTGAAGAAACAGATAACTATTGGATGCAAGAGGAGAATAGAAAATGCTAAGATTTTGGTGGCTAATACTGCTATGGATTATGATAAAATCAAAATATATGGAACAAAAGTCAAAGTCAATTCAATGGATAAAGTTGCAGAAATAGAGGCTGCTGAGAAGGAAAAGATGAAACATAAAGTGGATAAGATTCTTAAATATTAACCAACAGTATTTGTCAATAGATAATTAATTTACAATTATCCAGAATAATTATTGGCAGATTCTGGAATCACTGTTATAGAACATGCTGATTTCGAAGGAATGGAAAGAGTTGCTGCAGCTACAGGAGCTGAAATCTTATCAACATTCGACGCTCCAGAAAGAGCAGCATAAGTCTTAGGTCATTGTGATTTAATTGAAGAAATCATGATTGGAGAAGAAAAAGTAAACTATTAAATAAATTGTTATTAGATGATCAAATTCTCTGGATGCAAGAAGAATGAAGCATGCACCATTGTGTTAAGAGGAGCTAGTACACATATTTTGGATGAAGTGGATAGATCAATCCATGATGCATTATGTGTTTTAATTACTACAGTCAAAAACAGAAGAGTTGTTTGGGGAGGTGGCAATTCAGAAATGTAAATGGCAGCTGCCTGTGAGGAAGAAGCCAAAAAGGTATAAGGAAAATAGGCATTTGCAATTGAAGCATTTGCTAGAGCTCTGAGATAGATTCCAACTATTATTTGCGATAATGGAGGTACCCATTCTTATAGACTTTATTAAAGGGTATGACTCCGCTGAATTAATATAAAACTTCAAAGTCGAATTATAAAAGGGCAATCAAACTTGTGGTTTAAATATGACTGATGGAACAGTTGGAAACATGAGTGAACTAGGTGTTAAAGAATGTTTAAGAGTTAAAGAACAAGCATTGATGGCTGCCAGCGAAGCAGCTGAATTAATTATGAGAGTTGATGATATTGTTAAATGTGCACCAAGAAAGAGAGAAAGAGCATGAAGTTAATTATAATAAAAATATAAAATCATAATCAGCTTGAGTTTTATTAAATTAGTTTTCCTCCCTCGTAACTTGATTAGTCCTATTACATCGATTGTTATGATTCTTACTATTGTCTTTTTTTAGATTTGAAGTAAATTTCATCCAATTCTATTATGTACATTATATATGGGTGATAGACATTTAATGATAGTACGCAAAAGACACAAAATAAGAACATTAAGATTGGTAACAGTAAATTGATTAAAAGAATGTATCCAACCCAGTATCCTCCGAAATCCTCTCCTTCATCATTAATCATTGGGAAATACTCAAGGTCTGTTTGAAAATAAACAAATGGATCCTATTAATTATTCTTCTCTAACGTTGCACTCAATTCATAAGAATATTAAATATTGTTCTCAAACTTCCATTCTACATAAAATATACAATATCTTTCATCATATCCCACACAACTCTTATTTTTATCACTCTCAATTAAATAGCACTCTAACACTATTTCCTGTTATTCATTTTTTATCGTAATTTTTGCTTCACTTATATTGATATTTTGAACACATTCATAACCCTTCGGCAACACTTCTATTACAGCAAGAGTATTATTAATATTCTAATTAACATCTACTTGCATTCTAACTTAATTTATAGGCTTAAACTTTTATTTCAATAGTATATCATTTCTATTTAATTATGAAAAAGTATTATCAATCTAAATAATAGCTTCAAATTCTAGATTTTGCAAATGTTAAGATATCAAATTAATCTATGTTATTTGGTATTAGGTTTTTATTAAAAAGGGCAAATTATTTAATTTAATATCACTACTATCCACTATCTGTCTGCTTCCTTATATTAGAATATTATTTGTATCTATTTATGATATTTATAATGGTAAAAGGTACTTATTTTAATATAATCTAAACCAATATAACGCAGACTATTCATTATAGGATTTTTGTAATTTTGCCTTATATTATAAAGTTTGATTCTAGAGTATCAGTTCAAAGGTTGATGAGAAATCAAAGTAAAATTTATTTTCATTTTCTAACTAAGGAAGTGATCCTGCAAGCAGTATTTGATCTTTAGTAGTTGTTTAAACTTTCGTGATAAAAAACAAAATTAAATTTAATGATGCAGTTGAATTTAACCAAAACTCAATTGAATTCTTACATGTTAAAAAATGATAATGCTGAATTTATATTACAGGCGAAGAAGTTAATTATTTACTCAAATCGTACATCTTGTAATCTATGAAAATAAACAATGAATCATTATTTAGAGATCGATTAAAAATAAATGTATATTTGTATGCAGAGTCTTCATCCAAAGGTAATTAGTAATTTTGGTCTAAACAAATCCCCTATCCCTCTAGAAGGCTTATTTACAATTCTCCTTGTACATTTACTAATCCAACCTATTCTTTAGTTTTACAATCAATCCATTAAATAAATCTGAACTAAAAATTATCTAATGGGAAAACTTGACCTTAAAAGCCATCAACAACAAAGTAGATACAGAATAATAAAAATCCCATTGATCCTAACATTTTATAAAATAAATAGTAATTTATTTCTATTTATTTCTATCTGATTTTCAATTTATAAGTCAAATTCTATATCATCGTTTAGATCAAATCTATACCATTGACATCAACCAGAACATATTTCATAACACATAATAAAGTTTTTTGAGGTGTAATTCTAAAATATATTTATCTGATATTCAACTATTATAATTGAATATATTCACTTTAACTTCAATAACAGAAATGCACTTTATAGGTCATACAAAAAATAGTATTAGAGCTACTAAAACCAAAAGTTTATTCCTAAATCTGGAAGTACTTCAATATATGATTAAAGTGAATTTAATAATTTAAAGTAATAGCTTCAAACTTTTTAATCTAATAAATTAAATAAATTACCTATTAACTTCAAAATGACAATGATATTTTAATATGGCTAAATAAAACTTAATTTGTTACTATCATTAAATAATTGAAAGTAGAAAAGGTTGCTATTACTATTCCTATATAATCGACTAAGGATAAACCATTTATTTTGTAGTGTTATGAGAATATAATTTAATTTTACTTTAATGTTAATTTCTATTCAAATTTAATAATATTAAAATTTAGCCAGATATTAAAAATTTGTAATTTATAATTCTAAAGAGAAATTTTTCAAACATAGAGTGACTATGAAATAAATTAAATGTGAATTTCAATATGATAAAATAATATTTAATTAAAATTATGATTTTAATTTTAATCCAGAAAAATTCCAATGATGTCACATTTTATTTTCTTACTTATTATTTAATATCTTACAATTAACTATTAATTAACTGAAGTTTCTTAATTGATAGAATAATTTTAAATTACTTTAGAAATATACTTTTGTTAACTAATTTGCCGTTTGATAACCTAAACATATTATGGATAAAGAAATAGATCTTAAGATCATAAAAATTAACATAAAATAAGTAACTCAAAAAATAAAAAGCACTATTCTATTGAAAAGAAGATGAATGGATATTATTATAAATCCTATATATATGAATATCATTTTTCTGTCAGTTCTCTAAAGCCTTTCCAATAATTAGGTGCTTTGTTTCCATTAGAGTGTAGAACTTCAAGTAGAGTATTCGAAGGTCCATCTTTATGTTCAGGTATCATAGACTATAGAAATATAAATAAAATTGATTACAAGAGTCTTAGTGAAGATAGGTAAAGCTTTATTCCCATTATCCATTAATATAATATTAGAAGCCCTGATCCCAAGTTTCATAGAACTCTGGTTTAAAAGGAGCTCTTGCAAGAACTAATTCTTAATCTGATTAAAAGAGATCAGCAACTTGAATTGAATCGTTTTCGACTTTTTTGATTAATTGATTTCTTTGGTATCTTTAGACAACTCGATATTTTTTGGCTTCTCTTTATGTTAATTTACTAATGTCATATTTATCAATAGGCTCTTTGATTCCTTTTAATAAGCTTTTTATAGATAAATCAATGGTGTAAATTTCTAGGTATAGAATTATAATTACTCATAGGTTCAATGCTACCTTTGACAGTAACAATATCAATAAGTCGTAATTATTTCTGACAAGATTCGGTTAAATGCTCTCTAAAAATACCACTAATCAATATAATTGAACCAAATTATTTAGTAGCTGCTTCTAATCTGGAGGCCATATTTACATTTGGACTTAAGTAAGAAGCATCAATCTTGAAAGATGAACCTATAGCTCCCTCTATTCCCCAGCCCATATGTAAACCAAATCCCATTTTTACCGAATAGTCCTTCATTCTTGCATTCAAACCAGGGTGTTTTTTATATTTTTCTAATTTTTTGGAGATTGAAACCGAAGTAATAATTTTGAGAAAAGCTAAGACTGCCATATCTCCTTTTTATTTGATTAATTTAGTATCTCTTAACAGTAGTTTTTAAGGATTGCTTGGATCAGGATGATAATCAAATTAATCATATTTCCAAACTAAAAGAAAAGCATCTCCTATATTTTTATTAGCAGATCCACTAAAACTATTGACAGCTGAATGAACAATTTCTGCAATTTCATTTACAAATACCATTACTTCTTATTATAAGACTTCAGTTGCATCTGTAAAATTTCTGATATCGCAGAATCCAAAGATTGCCATTATTTTTTTGCCTGGGATCATAGGATCAACACTACCTCCCTTTTTGATATTTTCTGCTATAATTTCAGATCCTGCTTCTCCAAAACCCACTGCCAATAAGGCACCTACTTTCATAATTAAACGTTATAAGACATAGGTTTCCATAGATCTCTCAATTTCTTTTTCTTTTAATTTTTTATGATCTTAACTTTTTTCTAGTTCTTCAATTACTAAATCTTCTTATTCTTCAATATTCACTGCCTCTAAGGGATTGGCTGCAATTAATTCTATTTATTTCATCATAGTTTCAATAGGGTCGATTACTAAATCCTCAACGTCTTTGTTGAAAAGTAACGCACTCAAAGCCAAAACAATACAAACAAAAATGGTTTAAAATATTGATAGGATTGAGTTAGTCTGATTATAAGAAACCAGATCTGCAGCAGAATAGGCCAATAGAGTTCCATTTTAAGAAGTCTGAATGTAATATTGAAGATCTGTAAATCTGTATTACTCTGGAGATAAAGATGTATATTCAAAATAATCTGGATATTTCTAGTAATTATAATTAATCCAAGAACCATTAACTAATATATGTACTGCTTGTATTGGATAGATTTGTCCTTAATGGAATTCTGCATATTACTTAATCAGAATCTCTTTCACATTCTATTTATCCTTAAACTAAGATATTCTAAAGATTCCTGAATCATAGCTATTGATTTTCTCTTAATATGTGTCAAAGTTGATCAAAGGAATGCTAATCAGAACTGCTAAGATGATAGTGATCACTCTCCTCATTACTAAATCTGATAATTATTAACCAACATTTGATTCTTTTTAGTCAATCTCTCCATTTATTGAACTTTCCCCTTAGGAATTAGTTTATTAACCAGACTTTCCAGGAGTTGATTTTCCTGGAGATTTACTGAATTGATTGTTTGATCCTTCACTTCCATCCTAACTTGAAATTGGCTTTTGGATTTGTTAATTAGGAGGAACAGAATTTCCACTCATTTGACTTTAATTTAATTGGTTGTTTTTAATTTTACCACTTCCTATCATATTTTGTTGACTTTGTATTTGTAATGCTTATTCTTCTTCATTATTAGCTAATATATAATAATAAAATGATACGTTAGGGATGATTTTATGATTAGGACAACTATTATTAAGATTATTGAAGAATCCTTTATTAAATTTATAGTTATGATTGTTACTATTAAGATTCTTAAATCATTTATTACTATTATTATTATTATTTCATTTTTTCCTCTTAAGATAATTGAGCCTATCTTAATAACTATCTCAGAAGTGCCTTTTATTATTGTTTCTATATTTGTTATCTGGCATGTTTGTACAATTTTACCAATCTTACTAATCTAATGACTCTTATGACTCTTGCAGCCTTCCTTGCAACTTTAGATGCAGAACCAATTGTTTTAATGGAAGAAGCATTTGTTACATCTCCAGAGTACCATTCATCAGTTATCCATCCAATATCTAAAAACATGGTAGCTGTTGATATCACATCTAACCAAAAGTAAAACTATAGTTATAAATGTCATTATACATTGCAAATATATTCATTTTTGCAAACACAAGTAAAGACAATTTCTAAGATAAAGCAAACCATACAGATTATGGTTAAAACAAAGAATGCGTCATCACCATCTTTATTCACAGTTAGGACTCTTATATCATCACCGAATAAAGCATAAAGAGTTACTATTGCCATTAATATTGAAAAAGGAAGACTCTCAACAAAATGGGAAATTCTAGTGGTGATGCTTGTAGTTAAGGCTCTAGGCAATATCACTGATTGTCTCGCCTTTATTTTGCTATTCATTCTTCTTATCGTTTTTTTAGCCACTATAAACATACTATAAAATCACATACTAAATTGTCTTTGTTGCCCTGATTTATTTTGACTTGATTTACCATCTGAACCTGATTCCATATTTTATGAACTCATCTATCTATTCTTTTTTTATGAAACTTCGTCAACTTCATCATTCTCTTAATCTAAACTACTCAATTTTTTTTAAACAATTGGTAAGCATATAGGCTTGTCTGTAAACTAAAAATATTGATATATATTACCAATTAAGCCATATTCCCTCTTTATAAATCTGAATTAATTTGTTAATCTGCAACTTGTTATTCATTTGGTTCCTAATAAAATTGCAAATGTACTTGCTTAACCTCAGCTAACTATTTATTAAAATTATCAACAACTTGCAGTGGAAGGAAGTTTTATTCTGTATCACGGAAAATGTTGTTGTTGTGTCCATTATTTTAATACCTTTCTGACATTCGATCAGAATCCATCATTTTATATTATAATTGAAAAACAAGATATTTCTTTGATTTGAATTCATAAATCAAATCCTTTTAATAAGAAAGTTCGTCATCATAAAAACAAATTTTATAGTATTATTAATTAATTTAATTATCAAATACTTATTGATTTTCATTGAACTGCAACTAAAGATATACCAACTTAGAATTAATAATAAACAAAAGATTCACATTTAGAGAAATTTCATTGAGTGAATTTGAAATAGTAGATATATTCCTAAAAATAGAGTTATAAATAAGGATACTACAAATAATGTATTCTAGTATTTTAAATAAATATTCTCAAGAAAAAACATATTTTTGATTAATTTTAGGGTGAAAAGTGCATTATTCTCTATCTCTTTATATTGCTTCTTCCTCCAATTATCTTTTATTCATAGTATTTTGTTAAGTAATATTAAATGGTTCTGGCTTGGTCTTTTCTAAATGATTCTTAAAATCATATTTTAATTCATAATGAAAAAGCTCTTTTTCTCTTTCTTTTTGTTGATTGAATTTTTTCATAATGTTTTCTTTGTTTTAAAAGAAATTCTCGACTCCTTTGACTTTTTAACTTAGTGGTTCTTCATCTTTCTAAAACTATTTAGTGATTGGTTTAAAAGTGCATTCCTTTAACTCCTAATACTGCATTTATCTTAAATAAATAATTTAAGTTACTTTTTTAAATCTTGAATTTTTCTATCTTTGATCTCTTTTTCTATTTCCATGTTTTATTTAATCAACTTTTTATCATATTTAGATTTCACATGCTAATATTGCTATGATTTCTTGGTTTATGGATAATAACTAAAAGATTACTTTTACTCTTAATCCTATTGATTTAATGAAATAAATTACTTCTTTCAACCGATTTAATTTTTCCTATCTCTCTGGATTATATGCAAGATCATCTAAAGATCGTTTTTATGCAATAATAGAAGAAATGGGATTAATTTAAGGTTTAAAAGTGTATTATTGATAATATGCTTACGAAATTTAATCTTTTAAAATTTGATTTTTTTCATAATCTCTGGCTCCAAGACGATTAATCTTATCAGACATATTCTCTAAAAGTCTTTCTTCGTTGCTTTCCATAATTAATTCACTTGTTTTATTAATTTAAGGTTTGAAAGTGACATCAGAATTTTTGATAAACTCCTAGATGAGTTTTTCCTTTTTCTCTCTCATAAAATCTGCCATCAAATATTATGTTTAACAAATTTAATTAATTTATTATACAGGTTTTGTTGTTGGATTGATCTATGGGTTGAAAGTACATTCATCTTATTCTGGTATTTCATTGTTTTAATTTATTTTTCTTTATAATTTGGTAGCTGCATCTTCCATTAATCTTTCAACAACTGATTTTGATGTTTATTTTTGGTCTGCTATAAAAATTGATCTTTATGAAATTTTTGGTTAATATGTTGCTTCAGATTATTGTTATAATTCCTATTACTTTAATAATAATTCTTCTTATTTTTTTTTCATGACTTCATCAATTCTTTCATATAATGGTTTCATAAATTATTTTTCACCTTTTAATACTTTACTAATTTAACTAATATCTGGCTTAAAAGAAAACTATTCTGAATTAATATGATCAAATTTTAATTATTCTTTTCTTTTTTTTTATTCAATACCATCCTAATATAATCGATCAGCCACTGGCTAATCTGTGCTTCTTCTTGATGCAATATCACTAATTATTGGTTTAAATGTACAATGTTAATCTACCAATTCGTCTATGTATTTTCTTTTTTCATTTTCCCTCTATTCTAATTGATTTCTCTTATCTTCCAAAAGTCTATGCCAAACTTCCTCTTTTGAATATTCCAATACATTTTTTTATTGCTATTTTGGCATATCAAAGGATTTAGGTTAGCAACAAGGTCTTTTAATTTTTGGACTGTAAGTTGAATTAAACTCATCCATCAATTTATTCAAGTATGTTTTCTATTGCTCAGCTTCATCGCATTCCTCCTCATGAGGTTCAGAAATATATTGATCTCGATGATCAGACTAACTTCTTTGTATTCTCATCATATATTCATGATTAAATTCTTTATTCTTTTCTAATTATTATTAAAGTTTTTAGGCAGTTAATTCAAGCGTTTGACTTTATATCTTCAACTCTTTTTTACTACTGCTCAGAATCAAATCATCCCAATATTGGGGAGACTATTATTCAATCATCATAACGAATTTTGAATTAAATAAATAAAATAATGCTGCCTGATTTAGAGCATAAAGGGTTTCTTAAGAAAATGGAAAAATAAATCAATAATAAATAAAAACTAGTACCAGTCTTTGCAAAAAACCCATTTAAACCTGCTGCTCGTTTGATGTATGGTTCCAAGAGATACACTAATGTTATAAAATTCAATAGTTGTTAAAAATATGATAATTTGATTGACAAGCATATTGATTCTTAAGCTCGAAACAAAAATAAATTGTTGTAATATGAAATTAAGAACCCTCACTAGGATGCAATTAAAAAGATCCTCTAAAAATTAGAATAGAGAACATTTAAAAAGTATATAGTTGTTATTAAAATAGTTAGGAATATGAACCTGGATTATTTACAGAAATTATACAAAACAGAAGAATAAAAAATGTGATCATAAACGAAGATTAGACTATTGATTACTCTACTATCGACTATAGTAAATAATCTTTAAAATTACCTCGATTAAATCAATCTTTTGATTTAGTAAAGTGTCACAATGAAACTAGTGATAGTAAAATCTCAAAATTGTTGAATACTTGTCATGAAGAGAAATCGACATTATCAAACATAGATTCAATATTAGTTAACAATCATAAAAAATAAAGAAGACATTTAGGAGCATTAAAGTAGTATGTAAATATATTAAGTCTTGATATTTGATTATTTTTATTGTATTGTTAATGATTCACGGCCCCAATTCCCCATTCTCAGGAGCATTTACTATTGGTAAACGATATGAATGTATAATCTATATCTATTTTTTAGCTGCCATTTACTAAACTAATCCATACCCAGGGTAATGTATGCTATTCACATAGTCCAAATCACTACTCTATTAATCCAATTGAGAAACCTATTGGGTTCAGATTTTCTAAATCAAATAGAAAACCCTTATACTCATCTAGTATAGCACCAGACCCAGGAGCGTATGATCTTAAATATTAGGTCTTCACAAATATAACTTAATTAGACAATTACCTAAAATGCCCCTTCAGCTGTTTTTACAACTGCCTAAGATCACTAGAAGAAAGGATTAGAAATTGGTCCTGGATCATATAATTGGACTGATTAAGAAAAGGCTCCAGCATTTACATTTCAAAGCAAATTCGATACTATTGGTAATCAGATACTATAAAACCCTGGTCCAGGAACTTACGATCTTAAACATTATCATACTCATTAACCGTAAAATAAGGGATTGACAACAAGCAAGAGAGCTAATAATTTAACATAAAGTACTCCAGGACCAGGGTAATATGACGTTGAAATACCTAAATTCTCAACTAACATCAAGTATACTATAATATCTAACAGATTTCCAAAATCATAGAGAAGTTTTGAATTAAGTCAAAACGGACCTGGTCCAGGGGCATTTGATTTGAGTTTGCCTAAACAACAAGGAATAACATTTGGAGTTAAAGGAAATCTACACATCGAAAAATCTAATGTACCAGGTCCTGGTAGTTACAAATTAAAATCATTTGTTGAATCCGAAGAAGGAGATATAAAATTGAAAAAAGGAAAAGGAGTCAAGTACAAATAACTTGTTTAAAAATTAGAATTGGTACCTCCAAAAGGAGTAGTCAAAATTAACTTAAGTTTGGTCCATCTCCATTAGATTACGATGTTTAAAAATATAAATATCCTACTAGACATGCTAGGTATATATGGATAAATAGTATTTTAGTTTTGGAAGTGCAATCAGATAGTCAATTATTCCAAATGAAAAAACTCCTGGCCCTGGAGCATATATGGTTGATTCCAAACTTCGAAGAAATGGCCCCATCATTTCAAAAGCATTAAAGGATTATAGCTCTTTGGATAATACTCCTGTAAATTTTAAAATTGATTATCTAGGGTCCTGGGAAGTACAATCCTAACATATCAATTTCATCAAATAAGGGACCAAGTTATCATATAGCTGGGAAATATGACAAACCTTAAGAAGGCAGTTTGGTTGGACCTGGAAGATACAATATTTCAAGAAATATTGATAATGGTCCCAAATACACATTTCCAGCCCTAGAAAAAAGCATGGATAACAAATCATTAGATGTTAATTAGTAATTTGCTCGAATTTATTCAATATAGGTCCCATTGCTATGAAATTTAATAAACTATTGGATATATACCTCCATATAACTTACATAATTGAATAAAATCAAAACGGATTAATTTAATATAAAATTATGAAAATTATTGTCTTAATATTCTTGTTAGGTGCCTTTGCTTCAAACATCAGACATAAAAAGGATAGGTTTTTTATTATTCTTATCATTTAGACACGTTGATTCATAGACATTATCACATCAATAATAAAACACTAAAGGTATTGGACAATAAATACATATATTTAGAATTATTGCAAGTCACTGATATAGACAATGAATCTTAGACATTAGTTGAGGAAACACTCGACTAACAATAAAATTTAGAAGAACCCAAACCATTATATAATAATGATGGAAGATCGCCTGATATGGGCTTAAATGAAGTTGAAAATAATGATGTCGCTGAAGCTCCCATGATGGCAGAAGATGTTTATGATTACTCAGCTCAAGAAGAAGTGATTAAAGGCGTTTCACTTATATAAGTTGGAGAGATTGATGCATTAGCTGATATAGATACAAGCATGCCATTATTGGATGAGGATTTCAAATACGATGAATAAGCCCTTCAGGAAACTCCATTAAATGTTGATATTATTGAAGAAGTACCACAACAATAAGAATAAGAAATTAATGAAATAGCTGACTAATCAGAATAAGAAGTCCAAGTAGAAGATTAATAAGATTAATTAATAAATGAGGTTTAATTACTCTAAATTGGAGGATTCTATTATTGATTTATTCAAACAAAATATAACATTAAATTCAGTTATTAGTCCATTATTAATATATCATTTTATTTATAAAGTAGAAGCGTAAGAATTATAAATGTTTGTCACTTTGAAGTCTTATAATTTATTATATAGATTTTGATTTATCCTTTTATTAAATTCAATCTATCTGAGCATAAATAATTCATAAATATTTGCACTAAATAACTTTAATATGTCAACTTAGTTTTGATAATCGATAAATATATATATATAAATAGTTTCTCATTTCTGAAAAATAAGGGAAAAGCAAACTGCTAAATTCAATTATTAAACTTAAGAACAGAATAATAACTAAATTGAATTACAAAATTACAGATTATACAAATATTGATAAAATATTTGAAAATCAACGAAACATCATAATCTAAGATTTGTAAATGTGAAACTCATAAATTAGAATTAAGAATTATACTAATAGTTTTAGACTTTCTTCTAATCTATATATTAATAAGAGGATTAAATTAGATCACCAGTTTTATACTTTTTATTAAAATAGATATTCTATTTAATAAAAATATTTGATATGCATAGACTATTCTATATGGAAATTTATATTATTTATTCTAATCTGATTTTGTTTAATGGATTAGATCTCTTATATAATTGCTAAATATTGTTTAGTAATTAAAAATAATGTTGCTAATTTTTGTTGGGATTGATAGTGAAATGTAATATAAATAATAAATAAATTAACTGCAAATAAAATGAATTATGAAGCATTACTTGAGGAACTAGGATTAGACGGTACTCCATAAAAATAAACAAGCAAATCACCGTAGAATAATACTAGAGCAAGTGATAATACATACTTCACCAAAACCCCTGAAGCTTAATAAAGAAGAATAAAATTAATATTAAATGTAAATCTGAGTTCCAATCAAGTGGAGTAGTTAATGATTTATTAAGATGATGATCCTAAGATAAAAGTATCAGAATTTTGTCATTTGCACTAATTAGACAAGAATGCATAAAATGTACTAATAAAATAGATCAACAGTAATACAAACAATGAAAATTATCAAAGTTAACACAAATTACAATAGCAAAATTATTATTCTAAACAATTACAATCATACTCAACTAAAGAGTCAGAATAACCAGGTGAAAGACTCTATCAGCTGGCATAGAAGAAAAAGGAATAAAGAGAAAATCAAATAAAATAGTATTAGACAGAAAAATAAGAATAAGAACAATAACAATTACAATAGACTCCTAAACTAAGCAAGTAAACAAAGATCTATTTGGTATATAATAATCAGCTAATTTATTTAAGGAACAAGCTGGGTATCGTAAGAATGGTTATATGAGAGAGAAAGGAACTCTTAAAGATAAATAAATCTAATAGGTTTTTTTGGATGAACAAGGAAAGGAGTATAATTTTGTACCTTAAATTAATGAATTGTAACAAATCGATATATAGATTAGATCAAAATAAATGAGTCATTATATTAGAGAGAAACAACATTATGAAAACGTATTTGATGAATTATATGAATAAGCAAGAAATAGAATGTATTCACAACCAGAATACGATGTTCCGGAATGCACTTTCAAACCATCAGTGAATTAGAATATTAAAATAGATGAAGATTTTTTAACTAGAATGGAAAAAAAGCAAGAGGAATAGAAGGAAAGAAGGGAATTAATTAAAATGAAGTATGAAAACGTTGACTTAAAAACTCGGCAATTATTATATCGACCTAAAATATGTAGAAGTCCTTATGCTTAAACATCATCAGAAAAACGTATATGAATAGATTAAATCATAAGCCGTTCATGAGAAGCTTTATTTATAGTCCAAGTTACAGTCAGAAAAATTGTAGTAAATGACTGAGTAAAAAATTATGGAATAAAATTAATCTTTAAATGTAAGATTGAAAAACGAATTGTCAGAGGATATCGTATTTCTCTAAAGGAAAAAGATTATCAGGTAATTATTTGCTGAAATGGATTCAAATTAAGATGGCTTAATATAATGTTCTTATGAAGAAATTAATAATCTATCTCCTAATATTATTTAAACTTTATGGCCTATATTCAAACTATTATAGGAACAAAAGATATAATTAGATTTTGATGACTTTTTTGAAAATGTGTATCAATATTGTGTTAATCTGCCTTAAATCCAAAAAGATATTATTTTCAAGAAGTCGAAGAATAACAATCCTACTATAAAAGATTAAGACCATACATTTACTCCAAAAACTAATAAAAAC